CTGTTTAGTCTCCATGTATTTGGGTTCTTTCCAAATTTCCTCTTGTGATTGAGTTCTAGCTTCAGAGCATTGTGGTCTGAAAATATGCAGGGAATGATCCCAATCTTTTGATACCAGTTGAGACCTGATTTAGGACCCAGGATGTGATCTATTCTGGAGAATGTTCCATGGGCACTAGAGAAGAATGTGTATTCTGTTGCTTTGGGATGAAATGTTCTGAATATATCTGTGATGTCCATCTGGCCCAGTGTGTCATTTAAGGTCTTTATTTCCTTGTTGATCTTTTGCTTGGATGATCTGTCCATTTCAGTGAGGGGAGTGTTAAAGTCCCCTATGATTATTTTATTATTGTTGATGTTTTTCTTTGATTTTGTTATTAATTGGTTTATATAGTTGGCTGCTCCCATGTTAGGGGCATAGATATTTAAAATTGTTAGATCTTCTTGTTGGACAGTTCCTTTGAGTATGATATAGTGTCCTTCCTCATCTCTTATTATAGTCTTTGGCTTAAAATCTAATTGATCTGATATAAGGATTGCCACTCCTGCTTTCTTCTGATGTCCATTAGCATGGTAAATTCTTTTCCACCCCCTCACTTTAAATCTGGAGGTGTCTTCAGGTTTAAGATGAGTTTCTTGTAGGCAACATATAGATGGGTTTTGTTTTTTTATCCATTCTGATACCCTGTGTCTTTTGATTGGGGCATTTAGCCCATTAACATTCAGGGTAAGTATTGAGAGATATGAATTTAGTGCCATTGTATTGCCTGTAAGGTGACTGTTATTGTATATTGTCTCTGTTCCTTTCTGATCTACTACTTTTAGGCTCTCTCTTTGCTTAGAGGACCCCTTTCAATATTTCCTGTAGAGCTGGTTTGGTATTTGCAAATTCTTTCAGTTTTTGTTTGTCCTGGAAGCTTTTAATCTCTCCTTCTATTTTCAATGATAGCCTAGCTGGATATAGTATTCTTGGCTGCATGTTTTTCTCGTTTAGTACTCTGAATATATCATGCCAGCTCTTTCTGGCCTGCCAGGTCTCTGTGGATAAGTCTGCTGCCAATCTAATATTTTTACCATTGTATGTTACAGACTTCTTTTCCCGGGCTGCTTTCAGGATCTTCTCTTTGTCACTAAGACTTGTAAATTTTACTATTAGGTGACGGGGTGTGGACCTATTCTTATTGATCTTGAGGGGGGTTCTCTGAACCTCCTGGATTTTGATGCTTGTTCCCTTTGCCATATTGGGGAAATTCTCTCCAATAATTCTCTCCAATATACCTTCTGCTCCCCTCTCTGTTTCCTCTTCTTCTGGAATCCCAATTATTCTAATGTTGTTTCGTCTTATGGTGTCACTTATCTCTCGAATTCTCCCCTCGTGGTCCAGTAGCTGTTTGTCCCTCTTTTGCTCAGCTTCTTTATTCTCTGTCATTTGTTCTTCTATATCACTAATTCTTTCTTCTGCCTCATTTATCCTAGCAGTGAGAGCCTCCATTTTTGATTGCACCTCATTAATAGCTTTTTTGATTTCAACTTGGTTAGATTTTAGTTCTTTTATTTCTCCAGAAAGGGCTTTTATATCTCCCGAGAGGGTTTCTCTAATATCTTCCATGCCTTTTTCGAGCCTGGCTAGAACCTTGAGAATTGTCATTCTGAACTCTAGATCTGACATATTACCAATGTCTGTATTGATTAGGTCCCTAGCCTTTGGTACTGCCTCTTGTTCTTCTTTTTTTTTTTTTTTGTGGTGAATTTTTCTGCCTTGTCATTTTGTCCAGATAAGAGTATATGAAGGAGCAAGTAAAATACTAAAAGGGTGGCAACAACCCCAGGAAAATATGCTTTAACCAAATCAGAAGAGATCCCAAATCGTGAGGGGGGAGAAAGGGGATAAAAAGAGGTTCAGAAAGGAAAAAAAAAATGAAACAATTAAAAGAAGAAAACGAATAAAGAAAAATTATAAAAAGGAAAAAAATATATATATTAGATAAACTAGTTAAAAAACGTTAAAAAAGAAAAGGGTAAAAGTTAAAAAAAATTTAGCAGAAGAAGAGAAAAAAAATTGAAAAAGAAAAAAAATTAACTGCAAGGCTAAAGAATCATGGTATTTTTTTTAAAAAGGAGAAAGCTTTGCTTTCTCCTCCTCTGGAATTCCGCTGCCTCCTTGGTATTGAAACTGCACTCCTTGGTAGGTGAACTTGGTCCTGGCTGGATTTCTTGTTGCTCTTCTGGGGGAGGGGCCTGTGGTAGTGATTCTCAAGTGTCTTTGCCCCCGGCGGAGTTGCACCTCCCTTACCAGGGGTGGGCTGAGTAATCCGCTCGGGTTTGCTTTCGGGAGCTTTTGTTCCCTGAGAGCTTTCCGTAGAGTTCCGGAGGACAGGAGTGAAAATGGTGGCCTCCTAGTCTCCGGCCTGGAGGAGCCGAGAGCCCAGGGCCAAACTCCTCAGTGCTCCCTCAGAGAACAGCGCCCAATTACTCCCATCACCCTGGCCTCCGGCCGCGCTCCGAGCTGACCGAGCCTGCGACCAGTTCAAGGTAACCCCGAGTTTAGAGCTCACTCCTTGGCTCTGTCTCTGTAGCCGGCTTCCCCGTTCTAATACCTGTAAGCTCTGCAACACTCAGACACCCCCAATCCTTCTGTGACCCTGCGGGACCTGAGGCCACGCTGACCCTGCGTGGGCTTCACCCCGGTTAAGCCCCTGGAGCGATGTCCCTTCACAGGACAGACTTTTAAAAGTCCTGATTTTGTGCTCTGTTGCTCTGCCGCTTGCCGGGAGCTGGCCCCTCCCCCCGGGGTCTATCGTCCCGTCACTTCAGATTCACTTCTCCGCCAGTCCTACCTTTCAGAAAGTGGTTGATTTTCTGTTTCCAGAATTGCTGTTCTTCTTCTCTTTGATCTCCTGTTGGATTTGTAGGTGTTTGCAATCTTTAGGTAAGCTATCTAGCTGATCTCCCACTACCTGAAGTAGTCTCAGCCTGCTACTTCTCCACCATCTTGACTCCTCCTCCTTCCCAATTTTAAATGAGGCATTGTTTTATTCTAGTATATAAAAACTTTTACTTTAAAAAGATTCATTTGTAAAAGAGAAAAACAATAATTTATTTCTTCACCCATTACCCATGCATTGAACATTTTTTTTACACTCATGTTTGTAGAGGTATACACACACATATAAATGAGTGTCATACTTATTAGCATTATTACTCATAGAAATCATGGTCAAAGGACTGGACATATATTGCACAAAAGAAGAAATAGAAATGGACTGAATATACAAAAAGATGATTATCCTCATTAGAAAAGCAAATTAAGACATGAGGAGATACTATCTTTTCACCCATCAGATAAGGAAAATTGTAATGTTTGACAGCACTGTCCTGACATTCACCTACATCATGGAAGGAGTGTACACTGGTGCTAACACTACCAGGATAAGTTGGCAGTACCAATCAAAGTGACCAAAGCATACATCCAAAGTGTCATAAAACATTATTATAATTTCAATATATTTTATGATAATAAAACATTGAAAATAATCCACTGGTCTATCACAGGGAACTGATCTTATAAAGTACCTTGTAAAGTATATAGTCACCAATAAAATATTCTCCAGCTATGTAAGTGTTCTTTTAAATTGACATAAAAAGAATAGAAGGGTATATGAGAGGTGCAGGATAATGTATGTCATTACTACCTGTGTGTTAGAAGGAAGAAAATTAGATCTATATGTATTTGTTTTTTTATATCTAAATTCATATTTGCCTAAATAAAACCTGGAAGGATGGGCAAGAAACAAAAGATGTGACCTGTAGGTGGTGGGCAGGTAGAGACAGTGGTTGGAGTAAGATTTTGTAGTTCAATTTTTAGAGTGTTTAAATTTTGGAACCATGTGAATGTATAATCTAAAAATTTTAGTAGGACCCTGCCATGCCTATTTCTTCAACAATACTTTCCTTTTTAAAAGTTTTTATTTATTTATGTAATCTCTACAATCTCTTTTTAAAATTTATTTATTTATTTATTTATGTAATCTCTAAAATCTTTTTTAGTTTTTATTTATTTATGTAATCTCTACAATGAATTTACAATGAATGTAAATAGAAAATCTCTCATTCTTTAAACTGAATCAGCCAGCTACTACCTCGATAATACTTTCTGATTAATTTTCCATTTCTTCAACAATCTATATTTTTGTGTAGCTGCATACTAGCCCATCATACAACATTATTTATTTTAGTTTTTTAATTTCTTATTGGGCATTTGATTTAATTTGGGACTGTTGTAAATAGTGGTATGGTATTGCATGTAAATCTTAGTGCTTACAATAAGGGTGTGCAAGCAGGTGTGTTTTCTCTTATTTCTAAAGTAGAACTGCCAACAGTAGATGCTAATGTTGTTGAAGATTCATATACATTCAACAAGATTAACTATCTCATCTACACAACTCCAGGAGATGGGGCATAACATATCTTCATTTTATAAATGAGAAAGTTGTGGCATAGACAGTTCAAATAGCTATAGACTCAAGATTTAAACCTAGGTACTTGGCAGGTTCAGAGTTCATGCACTTAACTCCTCTACTACTCTACTTTTTCAGTGTTGGTGGGGCTCTAATGGGGTTCTTGTGAGATTAGGAAACCATGGGTCTGAGCACACCTGCCTGTCATGCGACAATATTATACTGCCACTACCAGAATGTTTCAAACCAAGTGGGTCTGAATCTGCTCACCTTTGAAGGAGGTGAAGGGCACCTTCACTGGCTATGGCCCCCCTGGGTGGGTGCCCCAAAGAAGGCTTCATAAGGACTATCTCAGGGAAAGATTTGAAATGTGGAATTGACCAATATTACAACCAGTTCTGAAATTGAAGGCTCATTTGTCATGCTGTCCCTTACCTTGGCCTCTCAGATTGCCCCAAATGAAAGTATACAGATGCAGAAGTAGACTTTTGATTGTTTTTATTGTGCCTATTATGAAAGCAAAGATGTCAGTTTCCAGATGTGCAAAATAAAAGGTTTTGAAGCAATTATCTGGTTAAAGGGCCCCAGGAGATGTACCTAGAAGCTCTGTGTTGGCTAAACTCAGAGGCACAGGTGGCTCTGAGGAGCTGGCAGGCATTAAGGAGAGAGCAGTGTTGAAGCCCCTGTGGATAACCCCCTGACCCTACACTTAAGTCATGGCAGAAGTTGTTCTTGCTGCAGAGTGAACTTTTCTGCTTGCCCAATTGTTTGTAAAATCATTCTGCAATAATGACACAATAGAAAGACATATGTGAACTGAAATAACCCAAACCCAGAATGCCCCATTATATACTCAGATGATGCTTTAGGCAACAATAGCCAATGAAGACAAGTGGACACGTGATGCCACCATGTGCTAGGAGCTCTTCTCATTGCCACAGAGTGCTGGTATCCCAAGCAGATAGAAGAGAATGATGGCAAAGTAGATCAGGTTCTTGAAGAGGAGGAGAAGGTAGGTGTAGTAGGCAGAGGTGTTCATGAGCTGCACCTGTAGGGTGTCTAAAATAGGTCATTTATTAGTTTTACCTTCTGTTCTTTTGAAGGGCTATAACTTACTAATGGGAGACGGGTCACATTATACATTTCTGATGTCCCCACAACAGCAAAACCTGGTAGCAAATGTCTACACCATCAACATCACCAGTACCACCACCATTACCACCACCACCACCAAATAACTCATAATCCAGCTTGCAGATAAAGAAGTCAATCAACAACATCAGAGGTTCACTAAGAACATTCCAAAGTATTAAGAAGTAAGGTTATATCTTAGATGAATGAGTCAACCTGAAAAAAAATCATTGGTGAAAATAGCTTTTACCATTTCTTCATCCCCACCATGTCTCTAAGTAAGAATAATCGCTAATACATGCTTTAACTACTATCTAAACTACAGATTAATTTGAGAGGTTTGTGTGTAAAACTTTAATCTTACTTAATTTTTCGATAACCTAGGAGATTATTTTCATTGCCATTTTACAAATTAATTGAGAACAGAGAACTAATTTGCCTGATGTCTACAGTTTGTAAGTACCACAAACCAGGTTTTAATCCCAGCAACATAATGTTCAAGAACACATTCTTGGGGAGCCTGGGTAATTCAGTAATTAAGCATCTGCCTTTGGCTCATTAATGACCCCAGGGCCCTAGGATTGATCCCTGCATTTGGCTCCCTGCTCTGCAGGGAGCCTGCTTCTCCCTCTCCCACTCCCCTTGCTTGTGTTCCCTCTCTTGATGTCTCTCTGTCAAATAAATAAATAAAATCTTAAAAAAAAGAACACATTCTTACCTACTCTGTATTTCTATACCTCCACGTGTAATAAATACCTTCAACAACAAAGAGTTAAGCGTAAATATAAAGATGAATTGTTGATTTAGAAGCATCTTAGCCACTACTGAGATTACTATCAGGGGTACAAATTTGGTTGTGTTCAAGGTAGGATGGGTGGGAGGTTTTAGTAAAGAGGGTATTAGTTGTGATGAGCACAGGATGATGTATGGAAGTGTTAAATCATATTGTACACCTGAAACTAATATTACCCTTATATTAAATAACTGAAATTTAAATAAAAACTTGAAGAAATAATAAAATAAAATAAACTTTAAAAAATGGAAGAAAGGGGCAAATCCAAATTATCTGCAACTTTAAGAGCTCAAACTAACTCCCTCGTCTTTCCTGAATACCCTCATTTTATCTATGATGTTATATGATAATTGCATTTTTTATACTTTGAGATTTTGTAAGAAATATATGATGTCAAGAAATAATGACAATATATGATGTCAAGAAATTAATGACAATGATGGTGGACCAGACTGGCCATTCAATGAACCACTAGGTTGGGTCTTGAGTCTGTTCATCTGGAAATTTCTTTCTTTTTTTTTTTTTTTTTAAGACTTTTATTTTATTTTATTTTATTTTATTTTATTTTATTTTACCAAAGAGAGAGAAAGAGCCAGAGAACACAGGCAGGGGGAACTGCAGAGGGAAAAGGAGAAACATGCTCCTCACTGAGCAGGGAGCCCAACATGGGGTTCAATTCCAAGACCCTGGGATCATATCCTGAGCTGAAGGCAGACACTTAACCGATTGAGCTACCCAGGTGCACCTGGAAATTTTTTTTATGTGTTTATCTCCAAAAGAGTCAGAACTCAAGAATCATTAACCCTTACTGTGGAAAAGGACATCAAGTGGTGCTGTGCTCATTGCTCCTTGCCTTTGGTTAGGTAATATGTTAGCTGACGTCTAGAGGATCCTTAAGATTGGACATGGAGGGCGAAAATCAGCAAGGCTAGAGCCAGTGCTTCTTGTAGTTTCTTGTAGCTTCTTGTAGTAGAAAGGACCAGAAACCAGTACTTACAATGTGACAGCTAAATGAGATACCTTATGCTAGACATTCTACAAATGTGACCTTATGTCTTCAGTAACTGAGTGAGACATTATTTGTGTTATTCCTGCTTTCCATAAAATGTAAATACTGTACCCACATTCATGAAACTAAGAAGTAAAAGACTGGGGGCGCCTGGGTGGCTCAGTGGGTTAAGCCGCTGCCTTCGGCTCAGGTCGTGGTCTCAGGGTCCTGGGATTGAGCCCCACATTGGGCTCTCTGCTCAGCAGGGAGCCTGCTTCCTCCTCTCTCTCTGCCTGCCTCTCTAACTGCTTGTGATCTCTCTCTGTCAAAAAAAAAAAAAAAAAAAAAAAAGAAGAAGTAAAAGACTGGGGTTAATATCCAGTCTGTGGTATGTGAAGCCCTGCACTTACACCCCCTCTCCCATGTGTGCACCTGTCTCAGGGCCTTGGCTTTGGGAATTAGAGAAAGAATAAGAACCCAGTAAGTATTTGTACTCCCAATTCAGAAGTACTGGGTTGAAGCCCCAGATCACTGTGTGGCATGACGCAAGGGACAGAATTAATTTTAGGTCCTTGCCCCCCCCCCCACTGTGTAAAATGGGGATAAAATCCTCCACAGTGAATATTAAGAGAATCGAACAACATGGACACAAAGTGCAGTACAATGCCCCCTGTATAAGACACTCTCAGTGTCAATTCATGTTATTGACCACCAACAAGAATAGACTTAAAAATATCCAGAAGCAACTTGATGTCATGTTTTCCTCAGTCAGTAGAAACAAAGGCCACAGAAGCGAACGGAGTCCATTGCAGAAAGAATTCAGAGTACATCACTGTACCCCTAATTTATAGTCCTCTCACACCAAAACCAGCATTTACTGTGTGAAAATGACTCCCGAGAAATGGATTGACTTAAAATATAACTCAGTGTATTTTGCAAGATCTGGCCATTCTGAGATGACTCCCTGAAACCAGGGAATTTCAAAAGTTAAGTTGATCAGGAGGAAAAAATGCTATAGCATAACTGAGAGCAAACATAGACAAAAACTTACCAGTTTCATCTTTCAGGGAGGCTTTTCTAGATGTAATAGCAGAGAGCTCTAAAAGAAATAAAGACAAGTATTATTGAATTGTTTATATTCATTATTTGATATGTTGTCTGTTTTGTGGATGGATAGATGGATGGTATATAAATAGATAGGTAGATGATAGAATATGTAAACAGAGAGGAGAGAGCCATTACTAATATGAGCCCCACAATTCCAGAACTGATTGTTCTGAGTCTGTGTAAGCTAGTAGATCAATTAATTTATTGTATTTCTGCACATGAAGATGTTGAAGTTCATGAATGATGCATTTTTCCTTCTTTTCTCACAACTTAATGCCTAGGACTATCTTGTTTTCCCTCTGTGCTCATAGCTCCCAGCACAGTGCTTGCTACACAGTAGGTGTTCTATAAATTCTTGTTAAATGGAAAAAATAACTGAAACAGTGGCTGCTATACATTCCTCAGCACCCACTGCTAACATGAAGGGTTGTTACCAAAATGAATTCATCCAACCCTAGAATGCACAGCAGAATATTACATTTTGGGAGGAATCTGGAATAGGTAAATTTCCCATCTAAGCAAAAGAAAGAGGTCCCACCTTTCCAAACACACATGTTCCCAATATCCCCAACTCATGCACATGATTTTTTGGAGTGGTGGTGTTTGTGGACATGACAATAATACTAATGAAAGCCAATACCTATTGAATGATTATTACTGTGCCAGGAAGTATGTGAAAGATTCACATGTATTAGGTCATGACACTGATGTGAGCTGTATTCATGTTAGCCATGAAGAAATGAGGCTTAGAAAGTCTAAATAACTTGCTGGTAGTCATACCAGTGATTGGCAGAGCCAGCACTCAATGTTCCATTATGAGGGTTTAGATAAGCTAGAACATGTGGGAAGTACCTTGTAAAACAATCCATAGAAATTCATATGACTCCACCATAGTGGAGGCTCAGGCATTATCTCTTCTCCTATCATAATTACTCATAGAAAATGACCTTTTTATTACAGAAGCTCAGCATTTCAGTGTGCTTCTTTCCAGGGACAGAAAGACTGGACAAGGAATAATCATAGGTTTTCTGAATATATAACTGAGGTGAGGGTTGTATTACTCTACAGTGTAAAAAAACCCCACAGAAACAAAAACCCGATATGCATACAAAACCAAAATTCCTTTAAAAGATCATTGACTGGATTATTTGCTTGTAGAGATAAGAGAGGGAGACAAACCATAAGAGACTCTGGACTCTGGGAAACAAATTTAGGGTTTCAGAGGAGAAGGGGAGAAGGATGGGATAGCTGGATAATGGGTATCAAGGAGGGCACTTGTTGAGGGCACATGTTGAGGATGAGCACTGGATGTTATATGCAACTAATGAATCATTGAATACTACATCAAAATCTAATGATGTACTATATGTTGGCCAACTGAACATTAAAAAAAGGATCATTGACTGTTGGATGGAGGAAGAGAGTCTTAGCATGTTCATTATTTTTCTCCTTGATGTGTTCTCTCCAGATATTGTTCTGTTATGTAAATTATCCACTTCACATAATCTTATTTTGGTATGCTTTAAAAGAATGAATCTGAGCTATAGGCTTTTGTGTAAATCTCAAGAACAGAAATATTTACATAATTGTGTTTAGATGTTAAAATATCCTCAAGAACTGGTTTTTGAGTGTCTTGAAAGCATCTTTCTTTTCCATACAGTGACTTTGCTCATTAAAAAAAATAAATATAAATCACTTACCACCATTTATTGAGGTTTAAACATTCAGGTAATAATTTTTCAAATTAAATCTATGTGTATTCTAGTTTCACATTCTTAATCAATTTTGGTTGAAAACTTGGACCAGATTAGTTTTATCTCTCTTCAAAATTCCTTCCCCGTTTTGTGCTTCCATGTTTTATATATTTCATCAAAAAAACAAAAACAACAAACAAAAAACTTATGAGCATTAGCATTAGAAATATGCCTAGGAAGGGAGGGAGGAGCAAGATGGCAGAGGCGTAGGAGATCTAAATTTCATCTGGTCCAAGGAATTCAGCTAAATAGTTATCAAACCATTCTGAACACCTACAAACTAAACAGGAGATCAAAGAGAATAGCAACAATTCTATGAACAGAAAAGTGACCATTTTATAGATGGTATCTTCTGATTTGGTCAGTGTATATTCTTCTGGGTTCATTGTTACCTTTTTGGCATTTTGTTCTCTCATTCATCTATTTTCTCTGGACAAAATGACAAGACAGAAAAACTCACCTCAAAAAAAAAAAAAAAGATAAGAGGCAGAACTGACTGCTGGACCTAATCAATATGGACATTAGTAAGATGTTAGAACTAGAGTTCAGCATGATAATTCTAAAGATGCTAGCTGGGCTTGAAAAAAGCATAGAAGATATTAGAGAGTTTCTTTATTAGAAAATAAAAGAACAAATACAACCAAGTTGAAATTTTAAAAAGCTATTAATGAGGTGCAATAAGAAATGGAGGCTATTACTGCTGGGACAAATGAGGCAGAAGAGAGAATTAGTGAAATATAAGACCAAATGGTGGAGAATAAAGAAACTGAGGAAAAGAGAGTGAAACAACTATGGAATCACAAGGGGAGAACTCAAGGGATAAATGATACCATAAGATGAAACAATACTAGAATAATTAGGATCCCCAAAGAAGAAGAAAGAGAGAGGGCAGAAGGTATATTGGAGCAAATTATAGCAGATAACCTTCCTAACTTGGGGAAGGAAACAGGCATCAAAACCCAGAAGGCACAGAGAACCCCCCTCAAAATCAATAAAAATAGGTCCATACCCTGTCATCTAATAGTAAAACTTAAAGTCTCAGAGACAAAGAGAAAATACTGAGAGTAGCTCAGAACAAGAGGTCTGTAGCCTACAGTGGTAGAAATATTAGATTAGCAGCAGACCTATTGACAGAGACCTGGCATACCAGAAAGGACTAGCATGATATATTCAGAGCACCAAATGAGAAAAATATGCAACCAAGAATACTATACCCAGCTAGGCTCTCATTGAAAATAGAAGGAGAAATAAAAAGCTTCCAGGGCAAACAAAAACTAAAATAATTTGCAAACACCAAACCAAGCCTACAGGAAATATTGAAAAGAGTCCTCTAAGCAAATAGAGAGCCTAAAAGTAACAGACCAGAAAAGAACAGAGACATTATACAGTAACAGTCACCCAACAGGCAATACAATGGCACTAAATTCATATCTCTCAATAGTTACCCTGAATGTAAATGGGCTAAATGCCCCCATTAAAAGACACAGGGCAACAGAATAGATAATAAAACAAGAGCTATCAATATGCTGTCTGCAAGAAACTCATTTTAGACCCAAAGACACCTCCATATTTAAAGTGAGGGGGTGGAAAATAATTTACCATATTAATGGACATCAAAAGGAGCTGGGGTGGCAATCCTTGTATGAGATAAATTATATTTTAAGCCAAAGACTATAATAAGAGATGAGGAAGGACACTATATCATACTTAAAAGGTCTGTCCAACAAGAAGATTTAAAAATTTAAAATATCTGTACCCCTAACATGGGAGCAGCCAATTATATAAACCACTTAATAATGAAATCAAAGAAACACATTGACAACAATACAATAATAGTAGGGGATTATAACACACCCTGACTGAAATGAACAGATCCTCTAAGCAAAGATCGACAAGGAAATAAAGGCTTTATTTTTTTTTAAGGATTTTATTTATTTATTTGACAGACAGAGATCTCAAGTAGGCAGGGAGGCAGGCAGAGAGAGAGGAGGAAGCAGGCTCCCCACTGAGCAGAGAGCCTGATGGGGGGCTCGATCCCAGGACCCTGGAACCATGACCCGAGCTGAAGGCAGAGGCTTTAACCCACTGAGACACCCAGGCACCCTGGAAATAAAGGCTTTAAATGACACATTGGACCAGATGGACATCACAGATATATTCAGAACATTCCATCCCAAAGCAACAGAATACACATTCTTCTCTAGTGCACATGGAACATTCTCCAGAATAGATCACATCCTAGATCACAAATCTGTTCTCAACCAGTACCAAAATATTGGGATTATTCCCCGCATATTTTCAGACCACAGTGCTTTGAAACTAGAACTAAACTACAAGAGGAAAGTTGGAAAGAACTCAAATACATGAAAGCTAAAGAGCATCCTGTTCAAAATCTTTGGGACATAGCAAAGGTGGTCCTGAGAGGAAAGTATATAGCAATGCAAGTCTTTCTCAAGAAATAAGAAAGGTCTCAAATACACAACCTAACCCTACACCTAAAGCAGCTGGAGAAAGAACAGCAAATAAAGTCTAAGCCCAGCAAGAGAAGAGAAATAAAGATCAGAGCAGAAAGCAATGAAATAGAAACCAAAAGAACAGTAGAACAGATCAATGAAACTAGGAGCTGGTTCCTTGAAAGAATTATTAAGATAGATAAACACCTGGCCAGACTTATCAAAAAGAAAAGAGAAAGGACCCAAATTAATAAAATCATGAATGAAAGAGGAGAGATCACAATCAACACCAAAGAAATACAAACAATTATAAGAGCATATTATGAGCAATTATACACCAGCAAATTAGACAATCTGGAAGAAATGGATGCATTCCTAGAGATTTCTAAACTATCAAAACTGAAGCAGGAAGAAAGAGAAATCCTGAACAGACCCAGAACCAGTAAGGAGATTGAAGCAGTAATCAAAAATCTCCCGACCAAAAAGATCCCTGGATCAGATGGCTTTCCAGGGGGAATTCTGCCAAACATTTAAAGAAGAACTAATACCCATTCTTGTCCCCAAAAATAGAAATGGAAGGAAAACTTCCAAACTCATTTTAGGAGGCCAGCATTACCTTGATCCCAAAACCAAAGACCCCATCAAAAAGGAGAATTACAGACCAATATTCATGATGAACATGGATGCAAAAGTCCTCACCAAAATGCTAGCCAATAGGACCTAATGGTACATTAAAAGGATTATTCATCACAACCAAGTGAGATTTATTCTTGGGCTGCAAGTTTGGTTCAACATCCACAAATCAGTCAATGTGATACAATACATTAATAAAATAAAGAACAAGAACCATAGGATGCTCTCAATAGATGCTGAAAAAGCATTTGACAAAGTACAGCATCCTTTCTTGATTAATACCCTTCACAGTGTAGGGGTAGAGGGTATATACCTCAATATTGTAATAGCCATCTATGAGAACCCACAATGAATATCATTCTCAATGGAGAAAAACTGAGAGCCTAAGCCCAGGAACACAGCAGGGCTGTCCACTATCACCACTGATATTCAACATAGAACTAGAAGTCCTGGCCTCAGAAATCAGACATCAAAAAGAAGTAAAAGGCATCGAATTGGCAAAGAAATTTCACTCTTTGCAGATGATATGATACTTTATGTGGAAAACCCAAAAGACTCCACCCCAAAACTGCTAGAACTCATACAGGAATTCAATGAAGTGGCAGAATATAAAATCAATGCACAGAAATCAATTGCATTTCTATACATGAACAACAAGACAGAAGAAAGAGAAATTGAGGAGTTGATCCCACTTACAATTGCACCCAAAACCATAAGATACCTAGGAATAAAACTAACCGAAGACGCAAAGAATCTAGACTCAGAAAACTATAGAGTACTCATGACAGAAATTGAGGAAGACATAAAGAAATGGAAAAACATTCCATGCTCATGATTGGAAGAACAAATATTATGAAAATGTCTATGCTACCTAAAGCAATCTACACATTTAATGCAATCCCTATTAAAATACCATCAGCTTTTTTCAAAGAAATGGGACAAATAATCCTAAATCTTATATGGAACCAGAAAAGGCCCTGAATAGCCAGAGGAATATTGAAAAAGAAAGCCAAAGTTGGTGGCATCACAATTCCAGACTTCAAGCTCTATTACAAAGCTGTCATCATCAAGACAATGTGGTACTGGCACAAAAACAGACACAGATCACTAGAACAGAATAGAAAGCCCAGAAATAGACCCTCAACTCTATGGTCAACTAATCTTCAACAAAGCAGGAAAGAATGTCCAATGGAAAAAAAGACAGTTTCTTCAACAAATGGTGTTGGGAAAATTGGACAGCCACATGCAGAAAAAGGAAACTGTACCATTTTCTTACACCACACCCAAAAATAGACTCCAAATTGATAAAAGACCTCAATGTGAGAAAGGAATCCATCAAAATCCTTGAGGAGAACACAAGCAGGAACCTCTTTGACCTCAGCCGCAGCAACTTCTTCCTAGAAACGTCGCCAAAGGCAAGGGAAGCAAGGGCAAAAATGAACTATTGGGACTTCATCAAGATCAAAATCTTTTGCACAGCAAAGGAAACAGTCAACAAAACCAGAAGACAACTGACAGAATGGTAGAAGATATTTGCAAATGACATATCAGATAAAGGGCTAGTATCCAAAATCTATAAATAACTTATCAAACTCAACACCCAAAAAGCAAATAGTCCAATCAAGAAATGGGCAGAGGACATAAACAGACATTTCTGCAAAGAAGACATCCAGATGGCCAACAGACACATGAAAAAGTACTCACCATCACTCAGCATCAGGGAAATACAAATCAAAACCACAATGAGATACCACCTCACACCAGTCAGAATGGCTAAAATTAACGAGTCAGGAAATGACAGATGCTGGCAAGGATGCAGAGAAAGGGGAACCCTCCTACACTGTTGGTGGGAATGCAAGCTCGTGCAGCCGCTCTGGAAAACAGTATGGAAATTCCTCAAAAAGTTGAAAATAGGGCCACCCTATGACCCTGCAATTCAACTACTGGGTAGTTACTCCAAAATACAAATGTGGTGATCCAAAGATGCTTATAGCAGCAATGTCCACAATAGCCAAACTATATAGAAAGAGCCTAGATGTCCAACAACAAATGAATAGATAAAGATGTGGTCTATATGTACAATGGAATACTATCCAGCCATAAAAAACCCTGAAATCTTGACATTTATGAGGACATGGATGGAACTAGAGGCTATAATGCTAAGCGAACTAAATAATTCAGAGAAAGAGAATTATTGTATGATCTCACTGATATGAGGAATCATAGGGGAAGGGAGGGAAAAATGAAACAAGATGAGACCAGAGAGGGTGACAGACCATAAGATGAGACTCTTAATCTCAGGAAACAAACTGAGGGTTGCTGGAGGGAAGGGGGTAGGAGGGATGGAGTGGCTGGGTGGTGGACTTTGGGGAGGGTAAGTGCTACATTGAATGCTGTGAATTGTGTAAGACTGATGAATCATAGACCTGTACCCCTGAAGCATATAATATGTTGTATGTTAATACAAAAAAAGAAATTTGTTGAGGAAAGGCATTAAAGGAAATGCTCTCACTAGCTTTGCTACTATGAGAAGACCTTGGTTGACATTCCTTTCAGAATTTAATTCCCAAGTAAAACACACCATAAAGAAGAACTTCTCCCTTTTCTATGATCATCACCATGGAATGTTACTATAGTATATTTTTACATTGATCAATATAAAAATCGATACCTAAAGGACTTCAGCCAGTGGTTACATTAAAGTTATGCTTAGCTTATTTGCCTCCTTTCTTTATCTTAGCTGTAGAAACAAAAAATAAATCCAACTGTTCGAAATATTACTTTAGTTATTTTAGGGAAGAATATACAATAAAAATATGAATAAATGTATCCATGTTATGTTTTCAAAAACAAGCATTTTCACTGACATTTATTGTGCTTCCTCTTCATCACATGCCAGGAAAAAGGAAAGGTATGTCAGTGTTTAATCTAAATTTGATCAGTGGAATCACTGAAGATCCAAGAGGATAAAGATTTAATTCAACAATTCAGAGTTGCACACTGCAAAGGTCTTTGTATGTTTTGTGTAAGTGTTTGTTTCCCACTGCTTCCCAAGGACTTGTGAACCACAGGGAAAAGTGCAAACTGGTTCTTTCTCATGGGCTCTCTGGGGCTTTGGTCTGTGATGTTAATGCCAGGACTTGACTTCTGAATCTAATGAGTTACTGATCACAGCCCAGCCAGGGTTATACTTTGAGTAGAGCAATACTGAAGGGAGAAGGACTCTGATTGCTGAGTAGAACATTCCTGAGAGGTATATAATTGTTTTTATTTCCTGATCAAGTAAGATAATCAAAAGTGGACTCTCTTCAGAGCATTTCTTGTTGCGAGGTTGGTAGGTGCTTTCATGTGTATTTTTTCATTTATTTTATACAATGGCCCTAAAAAACATTATTGTGACCTTTATTTTGGATGATAAAACTGAGGCAAGAAAAGCTAAGCGAATTTGTCTTTTTCTTTGTATGTTCCAAAGCCCATTCTCTTTCAGTTCTATGGGGAAATAGCAAGACATTCATACTACCATTTAAGATACCAACATTTAGAAAGACTTTTATTTGTTTCTTTTCATAAATACTTGACAGGGAAGTGGGGTATTTCCTTTGAAGAAAAGAGTACCAGGATATATATATGTATATACATACATACACACACACACACACACACACACACACACACACATACATGTACATACCTTTTATATGGGAAGAAAATAGAATCTCTTGAACAGCCTTTCCTTTATTCATCTCATGTTTGACGATACATTTGTGTTCTTTATCCATTGACACTTCAGTCACAGTCAGCCAGCTGAATTTCATGTATGTGTCATTAGTCTTCATGGTGTCTCCCTGCTGGGATGTCAGAATTGTTTCATCATCCTTTTCTTTCCAATCTATCTTGATAACATCAGGGAAAAAATCCTCAAGGAGACAAAGATATGTTCCAGACTTATGGAGTCTTCTTTCAGCAATTGAAGGAAAAAATATTGTAGGCTTGGGGAAAATGGCTGCATCAAGGTTTCTATCTGTGGGGAAGTGGAATAGCAATTAAAACTTTATTAAAGTAACACAAACATCATGTGGTTTGGAACCACCTCACAGTGAAATGAAAGAAATTTGCCATAGAATTAGGGCTTATCTCAGGCCTTTCATCCACAGTGGGTTATGAGATACTGACTGTTCTTATTTTCAATGAGAAATAGTTACAAGAAGTCATGTAGCTTGCTCAAATAACAACTATTAAATGGCAGAATCTGGATTAAAATATGAGATTTTTTGAAACAATACACACTCACATTTTGAATGGAACTACTATAATGCATACTTGACAATCTATCAAGTTGACCTTCAAATCTTCATATATAGATTCCAAACCCACTTCCTTTTTTTTTTTTAAGATTCCATTTATTTATGACAGAGAGAGTTAACAAGAGAGGGAAAACAAGCATGGGGGAGCTGGAGAGGGATAAGCAGGCTCCCCGCTGATCAAAGAACCTGACATGGGGCTTGATTCCAGGACACTGGGATCATGACCTGAGCCGAACCCACCTCTAAAGTAATGGAGGTCTTCTACTTAATTCCTAATTTTATAAAAACATCTCAATCTCACATCTGAACCATTCCAGGATTTTGAGTAGGACAATGTTCAAAACTTTTCCTCCCAAATATTTACAATACCTTGAATTTAGTAGCAAAGTGACAGTATTTCCAAAACTGTTTTTAGGAAACTTCCCCCCCACCCAGAAATGCTTTTGTATTAACTTTCATGTTAATGTAACACACTTATCTGAATAAGTGTCACACTTATCTGAATTTTGTTTTGATTTGGAAAATGTTCACTGAAAGCATATTTTGTATTGGAATTTCATTTGACATTTATATATGACTAAAAAGACACCATATTTTCACTTTCAGAGTCTCCCTTTAAAGTTGAATCTGCTCTAGAAAGCTGATAATTGTTTTTTAAAACCCCACAGTATCCGTGATTTTAACTGCTGAACAAAATATATATGTAACTGTTGTAGTGTTAAAAGTTATTGCTTTATTAATGATATACTTTATAATGGCTAATTGAATTTAAATTAAAGAAAAAGAAGTTATGGTTCCAGAGTTTCTTGCAGTCCTAATGTCAAGACGTATAACAAAACATAGTTTTAAAGGGCATGTCACTTGACATGGGTATGTTACTTGATTATATATTTATTGTTAATGACTGAAATTATAAATGTTAGCATCCTTTAGATAAACTCGAAATGGATAAAAGACCTCAATGTGAGACAGGAATCCATCAGAATCCTAGAGGAGAATATAGGCAGTAACCTCTTCGATATCAGCCACAGCAACTTCTT